TGATCACCATAAGGGCAAGAACTGTCATCTTCCCACTGCGATGTCCCTTGGCCAGCCCGGTGCCTGCTCTCAGTGTGTGCTGAGCACGTGTTTGGATGCCGCTCCTTGCGCTGGACTCCGTAAGCCCGGTGCTTGGCTGTCCATGGTGGGGTGAGCTCAGCGTTGGCTTCTCGTCCGCTAGCTCCTCTGCAAACAGCCTGTGGGAGCAGCGAGCGGGCCTTCTGCTGGGGCTCCCTAGGGGTTCCGGGAAAGAGCAATCCGCGTCCATGTGGGGACGGTTGCAGTCGTGTGGCGAATACAAAGGGCCCTGCCTTCCAGAGACGCCTATCTGGTAGGTGGTGGAGAAGACCCGGAGGTGCGATCTTGTCACCCACACTGCTCCTGGCTGTGTGTGCGTGCGTGTGTACAGCCATGTCACGGTTTAGCACGGAACAGTGGCCTTCACACGCAGCATCTCACCTGAGAGTCTCTCTGGTTCCCCCTGTGGGTGGCGGCCATAAGCCTGTTACCCTCAGCTTTATGACTCTGTATCTGCTATTCTCCCTGTTGTCACCAAGGTTCTCAACTGCTTTCTGGCCAAGACATCACTGTTTCTTTACTTTCAACCTGCCTCTTTGTTCCCCTGAACAAAGGGGAACAAAGGGGGACTTTTTTTTGAGACAGAGTCTCGCTTTGTCGCCCAGGCTAGAGTGAGTGCCATGGCATCAGCCTAGCTCACAGCAACCTCAAACTCCTGGGCTCAGGCAATCCTCCTGCCTCAGCCTCCTGAGTAGCTGGGACTACAGGCATGTGCCACCATGCCCGGCTAATGTTTTCTATATATATTAGTTGGCCAATTAATTTCTTTCTATTTATAGTAGAGACGGGGTCTTGCTCTTCCTCAGGCTGGTTTCGAACTCCTGACCTTGAGCAATCCACCCGCCTTGGCCTCCCAAGGGATTTTTAAAATGAGGAACTTGAGACATTTTCCTAACAGTTGGGCCCCATCCTGGGAGTGAGCCTGGCCCACCCCAGGGATACAAGACACCCAATCCTCTAAGTCTCGGAGGTTCACTCTCACCGTCCTCTTGCCTTTCCTCCTAAGACATGAGCTCAAAGGACAAATTGGCCAACAAACAAAGATGACAGAGAGGAAACAAGGCAGCACGGCCGGGTGCTTGGGAGGAGGAGCTGCGCGTGCACAGTGGGCCAACAGTGCAGAGCGGCGGAAGCCGAGGGCCTGTGTCCCCTGCTGCCGACTCTGCTGCAGCCGCCTCGGGGGAGCTTGCCCAGGGCCCCTCTGCATTCCTCCAAGACCAGAGATTCTGACCCCTGCTAAGAACATGCCGGGATTTACTGACCTTAGTTTACTGCAAATCTCATTTACCTGCTAAAATATATGTAAGCTCTTCCATGACAGGGATATCACATCCACCCAGCCAGCCAGCCACCCACCCAACAAGCATTTCATGAAACCCAAAGATGAATCGTCCCAGTTCTTGCCCCCAAAGAGCCATAACCGTGTGGGGGAGACGTGGGAAAATGTGATGCACAGAGCACCAAGCACGCCGTAGAGGTGGAGAGAGGACTGGGGAGCACCAAGCAGCAAGTGGCTGATCTGCCTGTGCTGCTGGATAAGTCTGGGGACAACTGTGGCCTGAAGGTCAAAGAAAGGGTTTCCAAAGCCTAGGACCAGAACAGCAGGATGCAGAACAAAGATGTCACGTACACGCCAGGCGGGTGGGGGCCAGCGAGGTGGAGGGGGACAGCTGGGGAGGTCACTCTGAGTCCCTCACAAAGGGCCAGCGAGCCGAGCCGAGGGTCTCCCGGGGCACGAGTGAGGAAGCAGCCCCGCCCCCACCACACTCACCTGAACTCTCGTGTGCACGTGGGAGGGATGTGGGCGTGCGCCGTTAAAGCCTTTGCCCCTCTTCCTTCTTCCCTGAATTCCCAGCACCCGGCCACCTCTCTGGGCCAGGCAGCCCAGACATCTGTCACCGCAACCTCACAGGTGATCACACCTGTCTGCGTACTATCTATCTCCCCGTAGACAGAGTTCCCTGAGGACAGGGTGGGAGCCCTTCCTTGGGGCTTGTCTGTGTCCCTAGGGCCAGGACGTCGGGGGGCTCAGGAGGTGGACCCGCCTGCGTGTGGCATGGACGGAAACTGCTTTGGCCGGACCACTCTGCGAGACGGGCAAGGCGTGGCCGGGCAGGTCAGGTAGGAGAGGAGAGCCCAGGGGAGGACGCGGCACGCAAGGATGGTAAGGACTAGGTCCCGAGAGGCACAGGCGGTGATGTCTGGGTGGGAAGGAGGAGAAGGTGGAGATGAGGTGGCTGCCCCCACCCTCCCAGCACACACATGCCACGGGGCAGGGCAGCGTGGACGAGGGAGCGGCCTCGCCCCCCCCCCAGGCCCCTCGGCAGCGGGAGCTTTGCTTTGGAGCGGGGCCTGGTGCAGAGTCCTCGCGTCCAGCTGCCGCTTGCTGAGAAAGGGATTTTGCCCTCCTAAGGCTTTAGTGTCCTTATTCATAAAACGAGGACCGAACAGAGACCACCTCTGATCCAGGCCTGTCTCGGTGTCAGGCACTTTTATTTTCTGTGTAGAAGAAAGTCTCAGTTGTTCTCCTCTAAAAGGAACCCAGGCTCCTGGAAGGGCAGCTGTCGTAGGGCACGCACACATCGGAGTGGCCTCAGAATACTCCTGTGTTGCCAGAAGCCTTCCAGGGTGCCACGGGCAGGGCCACGGCAGCAGAGAAGTCAACGCGTGGGGCGCCCACTGGCCCACGTGGGACAGGCTGAGCACTGAAATAATGCTAGTCCCTCCCTCTGCAGTTTCTTCCCTTCCCACAAATTATCCTAGACCTCCGGGGACCTCGGGGCCTTTCGACTTCCCCAGGGACTGCGCTGTGACGCCTGAGCCGCCACTGTGTGTCTCGTTGCCACATGGTGTGACCCTGCTGGAGGCCGAGATCACGGGACAGCCTGGTCCCCTCAGCACTCCTTTACCTGGGTTCCTGGAGACTTAGCTTTCAGGGCCAGCCCTCCCAGCCTCTGGGGTAGCCACCTCCCAAGGCCCCGGCTACGCGGGGTGCTGGCCAGCCGTCACCCACCTCTTGTGGACTTCAAGTGCCACCTTCTTTCCCAGCCACGCACACTCTAAAGGCAGCTTCTCCTTCCCAACTCTTGCAACTAAAGGGTTTCCTCACGCCAGAAAACAGAGCCCCCGCCCACCTCTTAAGGTCTGCTTTTGTCCCCGGGGGTTCCAGACTGTCACCACACCTCCTAGAGCCTGAAATGTGATTTATCCTCTTGATGGCAAGTGCGACTTTTCTCCTGCCTAATGATTGCCGGAAAAGAGAAGAAAGCCCTCAGGTGTGATCTTCCATGGGGTGCCCGTCTGCACGTCCTGGACAGCCCTACACTCCAGCGTCACCTGTACCTGGCCCTGGGAGCAGACGCCCCACTGACCCACGAGCCCTGGCCTGCAGCCAAGGGTCGGACTGCCGGCGGCAGGCGCCCAGGCAACGTGGGAACCGGCGCAGCGTTCCATGGAAGAAGCGTCTCTAAGACTTTGGACGGCAACGGAGAAGGGTCGTCTCACAGTGAGAAGCAGGGGCCTGGGCCAAGAGTGGCAGTGGGAGAGGCCAGGAGGGACGAGAGGAGAGGCTGGGGACCCCGTGCCAGGAGGAGGGCAGTGGCACAGCTGCACTTCCTCCCCAAGAAAACACACGGCACTCTGGGAGCTGGGGCGGGGCGTGTTCTCACTTCCCAGGGCTCTGTAGCATCTCAAAGGAACTCTCAAGTCTACAAAATCGGAGGCACGTTTGTGGTCGCTTAAGACTTCTCCAGACAATAACATGCAACATCATTTTCGATTCTGAGATGCTTTTTTCTGCCTCTATTCGGCCACATTCCTACCCTCGGTGAGCAGGTGCCACACTCAGCTCCAGGGAAGGAGGCTCGGCCTCTTAGGCCACATCCGGGACAGGAAGAAGCCTGATGGCACAAGGTAGGTGCTCGGCACACAGTAGGTGCTCAGCACACTGCAGGGCAGGGGGCCCTCCCCAGGCCCACGGCTGCAGGGACGCCCATCCCTGCTGCCTCCAGCCCAGCCCCCCCATCTCGCAGGACAGGGGCAGGAGGGCTCCCTTGGCCAGCTGCTGTTCAGATGACACTTCTCCTGCATTCGGGAAATTAAAAAAAAAACCTGAGAAAAACTGCTGTGCCGTCTTAGCTCTGATGAAGTGCTTTCACTTTGCCATTGACAAGAGACTAACTACTCCAGGACTGTTTTCCCTAACACTTTGATCTGATTAAGGGTTTTATGGGTTTTTCCACTGGAAAATGCAGAGGTATCATCTTTTTCTTGGAAACCAGCTGAACGTGTTCTGTTTTAACAAAATAATGAGGTAAAATTGTAAACATTTACATCATTAAATTCAAAGCCATCGGGTGGTAAGAAATAAAATTTCAACTCTTATTTTAAAATAAGTATTTATATTATTAAAATAGTAATGTCTTTCATCTTCGTATCAAAAGAAACGGTTTGGGCCTAGGTGAGAAGCAGCCCGGCTTGGGCTTCGGGGAGGTTGGAGCCAGCCCCCCAGTCCGGCTCTCCAGCTGCGCACAGCTGGCCAGGGGCACTCCCGCTGTAGGTTGGAGTTCATGGGAACCCCGTCTGCCGATGACGCGCGGGCCTGTGGGTCTGGGGACAGTGCCAAGCAGCTGTCCGAGGGATCCCATGATGCGTGTTCTGAGGACACGTGGGCTGGAGCTCTTCTCAGGAAACCACGGGTGCTGCGGGGAGGCCGCCGCTTCGTCGGGTAAGGGCGAGGTAAGCAGAGACCCGTTCTGGCATCAGCAAAAGCCGAATTGTTGCCCGGTCCCCCTTTGGACCTGGCCAGCTGCTCGGGAGGAGCCTGCCTCCCGGCCTCCCCGCGCTGCGCCCGCCAGCTGTGCTCCACCACGCCGCCCCTGGCACGCCACACCTGGCCGGCCCCGCCACGCAGCCAAGGCCCCCTTCCAGCAGGGCCCGCCTCGGACTCCCAGGGCGCCCTGGCAAGTCAGTTTTCTCCTCTGACAGCCGGCAACTTGCTAAGAAGGCTCTCTGGCCTCGCTGCTGTGATTTGTTCCTTCCACGCAGGCAGGGAGAGCATTACGAAGTCCCACAGGCCCTAGTCGGGCTGACCATGGGGGGAGAAGTAGCCAGCAGGGGGCTTAGAGACGCTTCCAGGTGGGGCCCAGGTGCTCACGCCCAGCAGGGAAGGCAGCGCTGCGCCCCAGGGCCATGGGGGAAGGACGGTGACAGCCTGGATTTGTGTGAGCCCAGATTGTCAGAGCTGGGGAGGGCCTCAAAGAGCCTCCAGGGCTCATTTTCCAGAGAGGGAAACTGAGGCTCAGAGGGGGAAGTGAGGAGCTCTACATCCCACTGCTAGTTAATGCAAGGCCAGGCCTAGCACCGGGGTCTGTGTCACCCAGCCCAGGCGGGCAGCTGAGGCCCGGAGCAGCTCCAGTGCCGAGAGGAAGAGCCAGAGGCCTAAAGCTTAGGCTCAAATCCTCGCTCCCCACGGTGCAGCAGGGGCTCCGGCAGCTTGGGCCCGGCTGGGACCTGCATTTCAACAACATTCCCTGGCTGGACCGGCATCCTCTGGGGACATGGGGGGACAGCTGCGGACCTGCACACCCTTCTACCCGGCCGCTCACAGTGGCCATGCGAGCGCCGTCTGAGTGGAATGTGACAGGGTCGGTTGTGAAGGACACAGGAGCAGCCACACGTGGGGGCGGGCGGGCGGGCGGCCTCAGCGGCAGTACTCGCGCTCAATGCTCGCCATCAGCTCCTCCTCCGCGTAGTCGTAGGAGATGGACGACTGCCTCTCCGGCCTCTTGTGACCACTGCCCGGGGCTCTGCGGGCGAGAACAGGGACAGCGCTGTCAGGAGGCGGGCGGGGCCTTCGAACTCTCCCCTCTCCTGGCCACCACAGGGCCGGCCCCTAACGGGTCCCTCCTGACACCCAAACCGAAAACCTTTGCCCTGGGGACACACTCTGACTCTGTCACCCAGCACATGGCTGCGGTCACTCCTCTGTCTCTTCTCTGGCTCCATCTCCCGCTAGGCTGTCCGCTGAGCCCTTGCCCTGGCGGGAAGCCAGCCCCTGCGGTGTCTGAGAGGGACGGTGGCGACCCAGCTCTGCCACTCACCAGCTCCGCAACCTTGCGCGAGGCGTTGGGACCTCTCAGCCACTATTTTTTTCCTTCAAAAATGGAGCTTTCAGGCCAGGCGCAGTGGCTCACGCCTGTAATCCTAGCTCTCTAGGAGACCGAGGTGGATGCTCAAGGTCAGAAGTTCGAAACCAACCTGAGCAAGAGCTAGACCCCGTCTCTACTACAAATAGAAAGAAATTAATTGGCCAACTAACATATATAGAAAAAATTAGCCGGGCATGGTGGCGCATGCCTGTAGTCCCAGCTACTCGGGAGGCTGAGGCAGGAGGATCGCTTGAGCCCAGGAGTTTGAGGTTGCTGTGAGCTAGGCTGACGCCACGGCACTCACCATAGCCTGGACAACGAAGTGAGACTGTCTCATAAATAAATAAATAAATAAAACCTTTAACATAGTGCCTTGCACAAGGCAAAAACCCTATAAATATTAGCTATGGTACTGTATACACCTAAACAGACACCAATGAATGATCACTGTGACTAAAACTAAAACATGGTAAAAAGTATAATTTAAAAAAAAAATGGAGCTTTTAGATCCAATTATTTTTGTTAAAGAAATAAAAAAATGGAAAAAAAAAGTTTAGAAAATTAAAAATAAAAGACAAAAAAGAGAGAGACAAACATGGAGCTTTATCCAGGAGTGCGTTCTGAGGCATAAGGAAGGTAGGGCATGGGCAGCACGGGCGGTGGAACCCGCACTCCCCGTCCCCTAATAAAGAGGAACTGGCAGCCCGACGGCCGTAGCCCGCTCGCGCCCGAGCCTGTACCCGCTGGGGCTGCACAGGAGCTGCTGCCCGGGGCGGGACCTGGTGCTCAGGGTCCTGGCCACTCTCTCCAGCACCCGGCACGAGCGAGGCGGGACCTGGAACACAGCTCCTGTTCCTGCCGCCGGAGCTCCAGAGAGCGAGCCCGCCAGCCTGCACCTGCCGGCCCACCCCTCCTCCCAGACTCTCTGGACTTCGTCTGGGTGGTGCTGCTGGGCCCCTGGACATCCCCAGGTTGTGCTGGCGTGTGTGGGGCCCGGCCTTGCTCCCACCCACGGCACCCAGTGCCGGGTGTGACGCCTCAGCCAGCCACTGGGTGCCGCCTTTGAAGGGTGTGCGGGTCTGCAGCTGCCAGGCTCTGGGAAAGGGGCCCCTGCCAGCGTGGGGCGTCGCCCCCCAGCCGCCAGCCAGAGACTCTGCCGTGCAAGGGAAGGAGCCCTGAGCTGCTCTGCCCCTGCCAGCCAGACAGCTGGAGCAAGCTGCCCCTCTTCCTGACCTCAGTTTCCCTGCCTGTGAGCTGGGCTAGAAGGGCTCCAAGGCCCATGTGGCTGCTGCAGTCATGCTCCTGGAGAGCAGGCTCCAGGACCCCCCAGCTCTCCCAAAAGGAGGACAAGCGCCGGGCCAGGGCACAGCCACTGGACTTTGCCACCCGGGGGTGCAGTCCCCAGGGACTTCACAGGAAGGATACCCATCTAACAACAGGACTGCGGGCATCTGTGGGGTTGACACCTCCCGTGGCCCAGAAACGACACGCGCCCATTGCACAGTGGGCTGCTGGGCACCGACCCGCGCCAGTGCACAGGGAATAGCGTGTGGTGTTGCTGTTAACATATGCAGGGTTCCCAGCATGGAGCCTGTTCTCGAAGGTGCCCAATAAATGTTCCTTTTTGCCCTGGAGACACAGTGCAAAAAGCAAACCCTCGAGGGGCAGGCAGATCTCGCTCTGGCTCTGACCTGCAGCAGCTGTGTGGCCTTGGACCAGTCATTTACTGACCTCAATCCTGTCGGCAAAAGGCAACAGCTGCGCCACGAGGCTGACCTGCGGCTTAGAAGAGGTGCTGCCTGCGGGTGTCTAGCAGAGAGCGGGACGCCCAGGAAGTACTGAACAGAAGTCCCTGCCAACGCTGTCGGCAACACCAAGAGGCCCCAGCAAAGTGCCTGGCCCCTGCCCGTCCTGCTCCTCCCGCCCTCCTAGGCTCATCTCCATGAGCACTGCTGGGAAGGAAATGAATGGGCAGGAGGCACCCCAATACCGTAGAGGGCAACAGGGTCTCCTGGCCACGCCTGGGGCTGAGCAGGAAGCCAGTCCTGCAATCCAGAGGCCACTTCTGGGCCAGAGACCCCTGAAGAAATAAAAGCCCCTCGGGGTTCACCCAGGCCAGCCCCGCTTGCCTGCGAGGTGAAGGCTGAACCCAGAATGAGAGGTGGCTGCCCAAGGTCACACAGTGACTCTCCTCCCTGTGTCCTTCCTCACTCAGCACCCCGATGCACGCTGGAGTTGGGACCCTGGGGAGAAAGGGGCCCAGTGCTGAGCTTGCTTCCCCACCACTATGCCAGGGAGGGGCCGGCCGAGCCCTGGGCACCACACCCCAGCCCAGAGCCTGAGTGCCTGGCGCCGTACTCGGGGCAGCTCCCATAACGCATGCTAAATGAATGAGGAAACGAATGAATGAAGTACCCCAAGTGTGAGGGACATCCTGGAGTATGCATGTGTAAAAATCAGAAGGAAAAGAAATAGTTAATTCATTCATGGTAGAATTTAATCATTAATTCCTTGGGTTGACGAAAACTGTAGAGAAAATCACTGCTAACAACCACTTGGCCTTGGCTGAAGGTGCAAGAGGCAGAGCTGTGTCACTGTCCTCACAGTGGTTTCCTAACATCGGGGCTACAGCGTTCTGCTGGAGAGCAACGGCCAGCCATTTCAGTGTGGCATTCAAGGCCCTCCCACTGCAAATCCTCCGGCTCCCAGTTCCCTCCCACAGACCCTCTGCTGAACCGCCAGCCTGCGTGCAGATTCCTCGAAAGGTCACACTGTTCCCAGGACCGGAATGCCCCTTCCTCCTCCTCCTCCTCCTCAGTGAACTCCTCTGTCCTTCAAACCATCTTAAACGCTGGCTCCGGGCGGGTACGGTGGCTCATGCCTGTAATCCTAGCACTCTGGGAGGCCGAGGCAGGAGGATCGCTTGAGGTTCGGAGTTCGAGACCAGCCTGAGCAAGAGTGAGACCCCGTCTCTACTAAAAATAGAAAAATTAGCCAGGTACAGTGGCATGTGCCTGTAGTCCCAGCTACTTGGGAGGCTGAGGCAGGAGGATCGCTTGAGCCCAGGTATGGCGGGGCTTGAGCCCGGGCAACAGAGCGAGACTCTGTCTCAGAAACAAACAAAGAAAAAAACCAAACAAAAACACTGGCTCCTCTGGCTCCTCCAGCGAGGAAGTCCCCCGGAGCCCACTGGCCGCCTTTCCTGAGACCGTGCCCTCCAGGCAGGGGCTGAGTCCAGGCGGCTGTCAGCATGGGCTGCCGAGAAAAACAAATCTTAAGCCAGAACTTCCAAATTCTTTCAGCTCCAAGATCTCAACTGAGCGCCACAATCAGCTGCAACCCCACCATCTCCTGTCAGTTAGAAGTGAGCAAGCCACGGGGTGATGGTCGGGGTCACAGTCATGCGGGGCCACAGCTCTGCATGTTGCTGGGGTGGGCTGGGACCAGGCCTGGGAACTCTCACGGGAGAGAGACGGCATCCTGGCTCCTACTTCCAATGGGTTTTAAATGCGTTTTCCTGAGGACACTGGAATGGAGCTACCAGTGGACAGCTGTCACCCTGGAGGCTGGGAACTCCTCCAGACCAAGGGTTGCGTCTTGTTCACAGCTGTAGCCACTGCACATGGCACAACACTTGATACTGAATATTTCTTTTCTTTTTATTTATTTATTTTTTTTGAGACAGAGTCTCACTCACTCTGTTGCCCAGTCTAGAGTGCCGTGGCGTCAGCCTAGCTCACAGCAACCTCAAACTCCTGGGCTCAAGCGATCCTCCTGCCTCAGCCTCCCAAGTAGCTGGGACTACAGCCATGTGTCACCATGCCTGGCTAATTTATATATATATATATATTTTTTTTTTAGTTGGCCGATTGATTTCTTTCTATTTTTAGTAGAGACAGGGTCTCGCTCTTGCTCAGGCTGGTTTCAAACTCCTGACCTTGAGCAATCCGCCCGCCTCGGACTCCCAGAGTGCTAGGATTATAGGCGTGAACCACCACGCAGCCGATACTGAATATTTCTGAATGGGTTAGTAAGGGCGGGAAGAGGGTCAGGGAGGGTCAGGGATGCCCTGAGGAGGGTCAGGGATGCCCTGGTCTAATCCAGCTCATGACCTTTTTAGGAGGAAGGTGGAAGCTGAGAGATGACAAGGTTTCAGCAACCTCCCTGGCTGGACCCTCCTTGAGGGGCAGAGTTTTGCGTGTACAGAGGGAGCTGCCTCTGGAAATTGGGGGGGGGAGGGGGCTTTGCAGGTAGCTGGAGTCAACAGAAAGAACCGGTAGCTTCTGGAACAGGAGACGTGCTCCCAGTACTTACTCGGAGACACTGCTGCTCCCTGGGTGGTCTCCTGCGCTCTGTTCTGGGGATTCCTTGGGAAGGATGAAAGGAAGAGGCATCAGAAGCTTGTCAACAGTGCGGCCTGCCTGACCTCTGGCTCTGTGCGGACACAAGTCAGTCACCACTTTCAACCCAGGGCCCGCAACCCTCAGAGCTGGCAAGGCTCTCTCAGGTCAGGTTCCATCTGCTCACGTCACAGGCAAGAAAACTGAGGCCGCGAGAGCAGAGCGACTTACACAGCTCTCGCAAAGAGCAAGTGCAGAGCCGCGGCCAGGCTTCCTGCATCCAGGACTGCCCGCTGGCACGAGGGCACCCTGTCTCTCATCTCCAGGGACGGGTGACCACTGCCACCTAGCATGAGGGCATCCTCACATCCATCTCTAGGAATCAGTGACCACTGCCCCCTGGCACGAGGGCACCCTGTCTCTCATCTCCAGGGACGGGTGACCACTGCCACCTAGCATGAGGGCATCCTCACATCCATCTCTAGGAATCAGCGACCACTGCCCCCTGGCACGAGAGCACCCTGGCTCCCATCGCCAGGGACAGGGATCACTGCACCACCCGGCACGAAGCCATCCTGACTCCCATCTCCAGCAAGCACGTGACCCAGCCCACTCTCAGCGCTGCCCAGAGCCGTTCCCTCCGCTCTGCAGCGCCTTCTCCTTGCACAGCACGGTCTGTCGTGGACTCTGTTCCCTCATTCCACTCACTGCCCTGTGGCAGTACCACCACGTGTCACTACCATAGCGTTAGACAGGCCTTGATATCTGCTGGAGCTAGTCTTCCTGCCTTTTTTCCTTTTCCAAAAGAGTCTTGGCAATCCTTAGCTGTTTGCACTTCCACCTACAGATGTTCCTCAACATACAATGGGTTATGTCCCCATAAACCCATGGTAAAGTTGAAAAAATCGTAAGTCAAACCCTTCTGCCGAGTGAGGATGCAGCGAAAAGGTGCCATCCTTAAAACAAACTAGTCTCACCAGACACAAACCTGCTGGCACCTTGATCTTGGACCTCCCAGCCTCCAGAATGTGAGCAATAAATTTCTGTTGTTTGTAAGTTGCCCAGTCTTAGGTATTTTATTACAGAAGCGTGAGACGCAAGGATAAAGGGAAAATCCTTCAGGTGTTCAGGAGGGAGGCGCAGGTGGAGACAGGCCACCTGCAGGCGGCAGCACACTGCTCCTCAGCAACCCTGGACTCCACTGTCACAGTGGCTTCAAAGATGTAACGGAAAGGTATTTTAAACTCAGATTTTAATTCCAAATAAACTGTTAATCACGTTTTAGAGCAAATGGAAGATATTTTCTGACAAGCAAAGACTCAGAGTTTATCTCCTATTATCCTTTCTGGGGAAAAATCTTTTTTTTTTTAATTTTTTTTTTTCAAGCTAGGAGTGAAGGAAGGGGAAAAATCTTTTTAAAAGATTTTTAAAAAACTCATAGAGGAGGCCAGGCGCGGTGGCTCATGCCTGTAATCCTAGCACTCTGGGAGGCCGAGGCGGGTGGATTGCTCAAGGTCAGGAGTTCGAAACCAACCTGAGCGAGACCTTGTCTCTACTAAAAAAATAGGAAGAAACTAATTGACCAACTAAAAATATATATACAAAAAATTAGCCGGGCATGGTGGCGCATGCCTGTAGTCCCAGCTACTCAGGAGGCTGAGGCAGGAGGATCGTTGAGCCCAGGAGTTTGAGGTTGCTGTGAGTTAGGCTGACACCACAGCACTCACTCTAGCCTGAGCAACAAAGTGAGACTCTGTCTCAAAAAAAAAAAAACAACTCATAGAGGAAAGGGACTCGATGAGCCTAATGAACTTAACTCAGACATGCAAAGGAGTAGAAACTTCTAGAAAGCATCCTGTCCATGTCTGAAGTTTCCAAGACACAAATTGAGTGATTAAGATAGCTGACTTGGCCGGGCGTGGTGGCTCACGCCTGTAATCCTAGCACTCTGGGAGGCCGAGGCGGGCGGATTGCTCAAGGTCAGGAGTTCGAAACCAGCCTGTGCAAGAGCAAGACCTCGTCTCTACTATAAATAAAAAAGAAATTAATTGGCCAACTAATATACATAGAAAAAATTAGCCGGGCATGGTGGTGCATGCCTGTAGTCCCAGCTACTGGGGAGGCTGAGGCAGGAGGATCGCATGAGCCCAGGAGTTTGAGGTTGCTGTGAGCTACGCTGATGCCACGGCACTCACTCTAGCCTGGGCAACAGAGTGAGACTCTGTTTCAAAAAAAAAAGATAGCTGACTTGATTATCCGAAGAGCTCCTGTGTGAGAGAGGGGGCACATCCCTTCCGCCGAGGTGGAGGGGGCTTTCCCCGGGTGGGGGTTTTTTGGGCCCACCAACTGCCGGGAGGTGGACTTTGGCTCAACCCAGAGAACTGACAGAGCTGCCAGCCCGGGAAAGGCTGCCCAGCTCAACGGTTTGTTCCTCCCAGGCCAAACGCACGCCCTGGAGTCCTGCACTGCTACTACTCATCATCACAGTGATCAGCGGGGAGGAGAGGGAGGGACAGGGAGAGACGGTCACACTCAGCTCTCCCACTCGCCTTTCAGGCCTTGCTGTACTCGTCCAATGCCTGGGCGCCTCCCCCGAGGTCCCCGCTCTGCCAGCGTGGCCAGGTGCCCTCTGATGGGTTTGGCTTTACGCTGACTTCTAGGGCTGCACTCATCATGTCGTTTTGTAAATCGCAGGAGACTCCCCTGAAGGCAGGAGGGACCCACGGCACCAAGCGCAGGGCGCGTCTGCCACACAAACACTGAGCTGCCTGCTGCCGCCCTCCAGCAAGGGTGGCCGGACCCGTGCCACAGGCGCTTTGGATGCCTGGCATAGGCACCTTCGTTTGCTCCGCTTGCTGCTAACTGGACAGCACCGCGGCCTCAGGGTGGCCTTGCCGACAGACACCATCTTGTGCGTGAACCGTACCCCCAAGCGCAAGGTGGAAAAGGAAGGGTGCACTCTTTCTTTTAAATCTCCCTGATGGCTCAGCCTTGTGGTATCTGCTCAGTTTCCGCCTGTGTTTCTCTCTGGGCCTGCGGTTTGAATGTGGCCCTTTCTCTGGCCAGTCTGTCTAAGCCTTTAACTTGACTTTCTGCATGGGAAACGCATCAGTCTCCCTCCAGGATCACACGGCTTGCTGGCAGCGAGGACGAGCTGGTACGAAAAGCAAAGACACAGCAGCCCCTGGTGGCAGCTTTAGGCCTAATGCAGACACAAGCTCCTGTCACCAGCCAGCGGGCTGCGGGTCAGACAGCCAATGGGACATGGGGAGCGCCTGGGCTGAGCTCAGGACGAGCGCGGCTCTATGTGTATGTGCGTGCATCGTGTGCGTGTACGTGTGCGGGCACATGGACGGGGTGTGGGTCATCCCTCGAGATTTCTAGGGAGGCTCTGGAAAAACCACAGCTGAACAAGAAGTAGAACACACAAGAAGGAACCAAGTAAGAGGATATCTCAGTCCCCTTAACTCTTACAACCAAGGTTTTTGTGAAAAGTACACTTCCAAAGGTTACTTTTTAGAAAATCCACTGCATATTTTATTTACCAAAAGAGATTATATCCTGCTTCTTTTATTGAAAGAGTTCTCTCCCTAACTCTCAATTTTTATTTATTTATTTATTTATTTATTTTTGAGGCAGAGTCTCACTCTGTCACCCGGGCTAGAGTATAGTGGCCTCAGTCTAGCTCACAGCAACCTCAAACTCCTGGGCTCAAGGTATCCTCCTGTCTCAGTCTCCCAAGTAGCTGGGACTACAGGTGTGTGCGACCACACTCAGCTAATTTTTCTATTTTTAATAGAAATGGAGTCTCACTCTGGCTTAGGCTGGTCTCAAACTCCTGAGCTCAAGCAATCCTTTCAACAGGGCCTCCCAGAGGGCTAGGATTACAGGTGTGAGCCACCACGCCCATCCCAGCCAACTCTTAATTTTTAACAGCTTTATACACACACATACAGATAATTGACAGAACTACAGATGCTTAAAAGGTACAATTTGGTAAGTTTTGACATATATACTTATATACATGTATACATACACACATACATCCATTAAACCTCTGCCACAATCAAGACAGTATACGAATTCATCACCCCATGCTTTCGGCTGCCCCTCTGGGGAGCCTCCCTCCTTCCGCGCCCCCATCACTGCTCGGCCACCACTGACTGCCCTGTCACTACAGACTGTGGCGTCCTTTCTAGATCTGGATAAACGGAAGAGCACAGCCGGCACCCTTTTGCATCTGGCTTCTTTCACCCGGCAGTGCTTTTTTTCGGATCCATCCTTGTTACGTGTGTCAGTGATAGCTCACTCCCTTTTATTCCACTGTATAGACAGACTCCTCTCCTTCCACTTTAAGAATTATCCCTCTTCTTTTTTTTTTTTGTTTGAGAGGACATCACTGAGTTTATTTTAGGTATGTTGAGTCTGACATGCTTGTGGAGCTGGCGCACAGGAGAAAGAGGCCAGTGACACCAATTTGGGAACTGCTGACGCCATGGAGTATATGAGATCCACCTGGGAGAGGGAATTATCCTTCTCTGAAGCCCAGGTTTGTTTCGTTGGTTTTTCTACGTTTTTAGATGGAAACTTGAACGCCTGCGACCCAGTCTCCCGACCCAGTCTCCCCAGTCTCTGCGGTCAGCTGCGCCGTTCACCGCTAGAGGGCACTGCTGTCCTGGCACAGCGACCATAGCCGTGTCCCCTGGGAAGCTGCACGTAAGAGCTTCTGGTGCAGCACTAGCTAGCTGGGAGGTGCAGGTGGTCTCCCGGGGAGAGCTGTTTTGCGTTGCTAAAATGACAAGGACTTGTTCCAATAGAGGCTCTAGAGAAATACGCCCTGGCTGTGAGACTGCCAGTCTGGGACCGTCTCCCAGGGCGAAGACCTAGGGAGGCGTTCCCAAAGCCACAGAGGAAGAAGGCAAAGGTGACCTAGAGAGCCACAGAAGGTGGGACTGGAAGAAAAGAGCAACAATTACATTTATGTGGAGTTTTAGCACCTTGTGAAGCACATTCACATGCATTTTCAT